GAAAGAGATTGAGGAAGACACCAGAAGATGGAAGGACCTCCCATGTTCATGGATTGGAAGAATTAATATTGTTAAAATGACAATCCTACCAAAAGCAATATATAGATTCAATGCAATCCCAATCGAAAGCCCTGTGACATACTTCACAGAATTAGAAAAATGCATCCTTAAATTCATATGGCAGCATAAAAGACCCCAGAGAGCCAAAGCAACCCTGAACATGAAGAGCAACTCTCAAGGAATTAGCACAGAAGATTTCAAACCATATTACAGAGCTCTCAACCTAAAAGCAGCATGATGCAGGCTCAGAAACAGACATGCGGATCAATGGAATAAAATAGAAGAGCCAGACATGAGAGCACATCTACAGCCACCTGATACTTGACAGTGATGCCAAAGCAGCCAGAATAAAAGCAGTATCTTCAACAAACGGTGCTGGGAAAACTGGATCTCCACATGTAAAACCATGAAATTAGACCCATATCTACCACCCTGCACAAAAATCAGCTCCAAATGGATGAGAGACCTCAATGAAAAACCCGAAATGCTGCAACAGTTAGAAAAAATATGTAGTACCCTACAAGATATGCCTGCAGGAACGGACTTTCAAATCAGACTTTGTTTGATCAGAAATCAGAACCAACAATTGACAAATGGAACTTCATTAAACAAAAATCCTAACTAAAAAGCTTCTGTACATCAAAAGACGTAACCAAGGAAATGAAGAGAAAATCCACAAAGTAGGAGAAAATCTTCATCAATGATACATCTGACAGAGGTTTAACATCCAGAATATATAAAGAACTCAAATAAAAAAAAAAAAAGTGAGAAACCAAATGACCCGATTAAAAGATGGTCTAAAGATCTAAATAGAGAGTTCCCAAAGGAAGAAATAAAGATGGCTAAGAAACATCTCAAAAAGTGTTCAACATCATTAGAAATTAGGGAAATGCAAATTAAAGGCACTGTAAGGTATCACCTTACCCCAGATTGGCTAGAATCAAGAGACCAAATGATACCAAATGCTGGTGAGGATGTGGAGAAAGGGGAATGCTCATTCACTTCTGGTGGAATAGCAAACTTGTGCAGTCTCTATGGAAAACAGTGTGGAAAACTCTTTAAAAAATTAAAAATGAACCTACCATATAACCTGGTTATACCACTCCTTGGCACATACCCAAAGGACTCCTCCTACTGTAGAGACAATTGCACAACCATTTGTTGCTGTTCTTTTCACAATAGCTAAGAGATGGAAGCAACCTAAGTGTCCCTCAACTGAACAGTGATTAACAAAAATGTGGTATATTTACACAGTGGAGTTCTATTCAGCAGTAAAGAAAGATGAAATAATGAAATTTGCAGGTAAATGGATGGATCTAGAAATTGTTATACTAAGTAACACAGACTGAGAAAAATAAACGACTTATGTTCTCCCTCATATGTGGCTCCTAGCACCAAATCCTTTTAAATTCCAGGTCCTTTTAATAAGATGATGATATACAGCAGTCCCTTCTGCATGAAATAACTACCTGCATCATGACTTCGGCTGAGCCTGATCACTAAACATAGTCACAAATGGGCTGTTGACAGTTGTGCTCATACATTAAAGGAGTGCCAAGCAGGGTCACTGGACCCTCACCTGAGTATCCAGTCACTCTTCCCAGCCAACTAGTCCAGCCTTGGAAGACCAAAGAAAAATGAGGAAGGACCCAATAGAGGGATGCTTTTGGAAGCCCTTGTCAAGACACTCTAATGGACTCTTATATAACATTTGAAAATTGCCCCCTTCTGACTTTTTTCTTGTTCCCTGTCTAGAACTTGTAATACTAATTACTCTTGCCTTTACTTCTCCTTCATATCTCCCATTCATGATTCAAGGACTTTCTTCTCCTCTTAGAGTCAAATGTTATGCAATTGGAGTACCCACTGAAGGGGTATTCCAATTGCCTTACTCTGCGTCCCTGTTCAGCATGGAAGAAGACAGAGTGGTCAGTGTCCCTATTCCCTATTGGCAATTTGGGTAACCCCTTCAGAAGATGGCATGATAAGACTAGGAGGTAGGAATTGGCTAGGCAGTTAGGGTAAAAAGACCCCAAAGAGATGTAGCCAGTTTGTTGGCTAAAAGTCAAACTGTCCTTGGGCCTGTTAGCAACATACTGTATTCCAAGGCCAAAAACTATCAAAAGTAAAGCCAGGTGGATCTCTGGCTAGGAATTGGCTAGGCAGTTAGGGTAAAAAGACCCCAAAGAAAAGTAGCCTGTTTCTTGGCTAAAAGTCAAAATGTCCTTGGGCCTGTTAGCAGCATACTCTGTTCCAAGGCCAAAAATGCTTGTCAAAAGTATTTGGGACCTTGTAACTAATCCTTAAAAGATTTTAGAGTTAACTCTTCAGAGAGAGGAATGTTGGAAGGGAGGGAGTGGGCATGTATTTGATCAAAACAGCTTATGAGCATGTATGAAATTCTCAATAAAGTTTTTATAAAAATTAAAATAAATGTAATAAATCATATAAATGGACTTAAAGATAAGTCATATGGTCATCTCAAGAGATGCAAAAAAGGTCTTTGACAAAATTCAATATGCATTATGTTAAAAGTCCTAGAGAGAACTGGACTGGAGGGAATATACCTCAACATAATTAAAACTATATATAACAAACACACAGCCAACATCATTCTACACGGAGAAAAACTGGAAGCATTCCCATTAAAGTCAGGAACCAGACAAGTTTGTCCACTATCTCTGCTGCTTTTCAACACAGACTTGACACTCTTGATAGTGCAATGAGACAAGAGAAGGAAATTAAAGGAGTAATAATTGGAAAAGAAGAGGTCAAATTATCACTATTTGCAGACAAGATACTATACATAAGAGATCTCAAAAATTCCACCAAAAAACTGCTAGAAATGTTCAATACAGTCACCAAAGTGGCAGGTTACAAAATCAACTTAAGAATTCATAGAAAACGTTCCATTCACAATAGCATCAAAAACAAAATACCTAGAATTAAACCTAACAAAAACACTCGCGATCTCTATAATGAAATTTTAAATTTTTTTGGTCTTTTTGAGACAGGGTCTTCCTGTAGCCCCAGGTGGCCTGGAACTCACTATGTAGACCAGGCTGGTCTTGAACTCACAGAGCTCCACCTGTCTCTGCCTCCCAAGTGCTGGGACTAAAGGCATGCACAACCATACCGTGCTGAAATTTTAATCTCTAAAAAAAGAGAGGAAGACATCAGATGGAAAAACCTATCATGCTTATAGATTGATAGAATTTATGCTGTGAAAAATAATGATCTTACCATAAGCAATCTATAGATTCAATGCAATTTCAATCAAAATCCCCAAGACATTTTTCATAGAATTTGAAAAAAAAATCCTAAAATTCATACGGAATCACAAATGAACCTGGATAGCTGATGCAATCTTGGGCAGAACCCACTGGGCCTCTGATAAATGTAACAATGAACAGATACCTAGAGGTGTGAGGAAGAACATTAGACAAAAATGGCACAATATATGGGAAAGGCCAAACATGATGAGGACTTAAGGAGAAGGAAAGGCTTCCCTTTAAAACCTGGAGAGGACAGGAGAGATCCTCAGTGGTTACGAGTGTGTACTGCTTTTACACATGACCTGAGTTTGAGTCCCACCAGTCACAAGTGGCCACTCAGGAATATATGCAATTCCAGCTCCAGGGGGATCTTTTATCCTCTGACCATCATGGACACCTGCCCTCATGTGTGGACTTTAGAGGTTCCTCTGGCCTCTAAAGAGAGGCAATCCTCAGAGGACATTCATAGAAAAATCCCTGAGCAACCCCAAGAGCAAAGGAAATACCAGACATTTAAGTTTCTCATCACCTGATTTAGGCCAACATATCTTATAAGACAAAGAGCACGCAGGACCAGGGTACCATAACATAAGGGCAGTCAAGTCACAGCAGACTGCTTCTTAACTGTCCAGAGACAACAGCAGGGAGCTGCAGCAGTTAAGGTTTATTTCAGCAGGAGAGAAAGCAAACGTGGAAAGGAAGGACGCAGTGCAGAGTGGAGGGCAGACTGTGAGTGCTGGGCCACATTTCTCCTCTCCATTGACCCGCTCCCCCCTCAGAGTGGTGTCCCTCTTGGTACAATCGAAGCCTTATTTTGAAATGTTTTACCCCAAATTCAGTATTAAATTAGATGCAAGGGTATGAAGAAAGCTGTCAATGTCCATATTGGAACAACTTACTAGGGGAAAGGTTAAAGATGGCTGCACGTGTTCCTCAGGGAGGAACTTCATAGGGGTCATGGACCCTGCCCAGGCCGGCTGCTGTCTTCCCCACCCCGTCCTTCCTCTTCCCCACACAGCTTGCCTATCTGCTACCCAGCTGCAAGCCCTCTTCCTGTCCTACCCCAGTGTGCCCCGACTTTTTTGTGTTGTTCTTTTTCAAACAGGGTCTCCCTATAGTCCCAGCTGGCCTTGAACTCTCTATGTAGACCAGGTTGGTCTTGAACTCACAGAAATCCTCCTGATTCTGCCTCAAGAGTTCTGGGAGTAAAAGCCACCACCTGGGCTCCTGGCCTTGACTTTCAGACACTACCGTTCACTTCCCCTAACACTCGTCCACACAGCACAACAGCACTAACGGGCGCTCTGGACAGTCCCGACACTGAAGCTGCCCGCGCAGACGGAGCCTCCCGCTCAATGCCCGGGGAGGAAGCAGCTGCTGCGGCAGGAAATGCCGGGGTGGGGGTGGGGGGTCAGGTCTCCGGGATCACCGGGACAGCTCAGGACGCGGTCCAAATTCCCGCCAGGCCCGGAAAGGACCCAGCACAGCCCGGTCTAGCAGCTCGAGCGGCCGTTGCTCCCGTCTGCACACAGCCGGCCCCACTCTCACCATGACCGGCGTCAGGCTTCGCCCCGGCTCTCCTCAGCCACCGCCGGGCTCTCAAGGTGCTGCACCAGAGTTGTATCCTTCCGCCACGGAGCCAAGTGAGCGGCCAGATAGAACCCGCTTTCCGGCTCCCGTTGGTGCTCCTGATTGGGCAGCGCAGCCGGAAGCCCTGATTGGCTATGGCCACCCTTGATGCCTAAAGTGACAGGAGGAGCTAAAATGGTAAAGAAGCACATCTCTTTCTAGCCCAGGTTTCCTGTCCGTGAACTGCCCAACTCCTAGGTGATTGGTATCCAAGCAGAACATGCTTGGGTGTCAAAGCAGGTACTGCTGTCAGGAGAAATTCACTAGGCACTTCTTGTTCTTCCTTCCCGGTCTAGGGTCACTCATATCCACATCCTATGTCCTGTCGTCGGCCTTTTGCCTCAGATGTAGAAAGGCACCCAGGCCACCATAGGTGACATTACTGTTGAACACAGTGTTAGATTTTTGGAGAATAAAAGGAAAGCTAAAGGAGTAGGAGACAAGGAACCAGAGCCAGACCTGCAACAGGCAAGGAATGTATCTTCTTTTATTCAAAGATGATATCACTATATCTTGGTTCCCTCGGACAGCCTCTACCTAGAGGTAGAGGCTGTCCGAGGGAACCAAGCTTCTACAACTAGACAAAGGAAATGGGGAGGGGGGATTATACAGGGTTGTGAGACACAACTGCATTTAGTGGGGAGTTGAATTAGTGGGGGGGTTGGTGTCCTTGAGGGTCTCTTCTCAGATATCACTGTATCACTATATCTTGGTTCCCTAGGACAGGTGGGTGAGTTATCTATGGCACTAAAGACAGGTGGGCTCCACAAATAGTCTCTCTCAGTCCCTGAAGTGACTAGTTGATAAGGCTTGAGCAAGGCCAGGCTGCAATTTTAGGGCCAGTTAGACACCTTAAGGGATTTATGGCTTTCCTTAATGAGGCTTGTGGCTCTTCTGCAATTCACACATTCTATCATTCCATACCCTGGGGGCATATGAGAAAGAGAAGGCAGGGGCTATGATGGAAAGAGGGGCACATTGCTTGGGGGGAAATAAGAAGATACAGGCACAGTGAGGAAAAACGGAAGTCCTGGGTATGGGACATAAAGTTTCCTGGAAGTCAACAGTTTTTGTGTTAGTAAGGGAATTCCAATCCATGACAGGTCAGGTCCAGGCATCAATAAGAGGTTACTTTGAAGATCTCTCAGCAGACTGAGGAGAGGATTAGGTCACTGAAGGTGACATAGCTTCTCCACAGAGGGCCAGCAAGCTGTTTGTTTCAGGGAACTTTCGGTTTCTGAGAAGTTTTCAGGTAACATGGAACAGGAGCATAGTCTCAATTTGGTCTCAGGTAGAGGCTTGGGCAGTCATACAGGCTGCTCAGTCAGGAGATTCTATAAGAATTTTTGGAGACAATAGTTAATTAAGCATAGTGTAAGGAAGGGATGGGAAGATGAGCTGGCCAGTCCAGTCCTTATCTGGGAATAAACTTGTCATTATTCTTTTGGGGTCTCTACCCTAACTCCTTCTTCTGGAGAGGTAATCCTAGTTGCCAATAGGGAATTTGGACAGCAAGTTATTCTGGCTTCTTCCATGCTGAACAGGGGCAAACAGCATGGCAACAGGGGTCCCCCTTCAGTGGGTCTACCTAAAAAGTCCCAAAAACGTATAACTTTAGTCCTTGACTGGTGTCTGTGAGGAGAAATGAAGGAGAAGTAAAACAAGAGTAGTTAGGCACATATTTTAGGTAGGGAAGCAGGAGAAATAGATGTCCACATTAAAGTTCATTAGAGTTTCTTGATGGGGGCTTCCAAGAACATCTATTCCTGGGCCATTTGGGGGGGGGTTGTCATGGCTGACTTAGGATTTGTTTATCAGGCACTTTGATAGCTATTGGAATGGCTAGAATCATAGTGTAAGTTTCCTCCCAGGTGGCTTCTATAGGCAAGGAGAGAAAAGAAATTTAGTTATTATTTAATTTTTATAAGAACAATAGTGGATCTGTCCTCCTTGCTTGTAGGTGGCACAAAATTCTAGTAGGAATTTTTAAATAATATTGTAAATGAACTTTTAAGTCTAATGTCTGGGAAACATAATTTTTGGGGGACATTAAAAGAAATATAGGCCGGGCATGGTGGCACATGCCTTTAATACCAGCACTTGGGAGGCAGAGGCAGGTGGATCTCTGAGAGTTCAAGACCAGCCTGGTCTACATAGTGAGTTCCAGGACAGCTGGGGCTACAGGGAGACCCTGTCTCAAAAAGAA